GTCAGGTGCGGCTAATGTATGTACAAAACAGGATTTTCCCCTGATTTTAGCTTGTGCGGCTAATATTCAGGTGCGCTTTGTAGTCTGGGAAATACGGTAATTTTAAAACTAACTAGCTGCTGCCATTGTTGGAACCTGAGCAGGGCCGGGGAAATGAAGGGTGCATTTGTCGGAGTCTTCGAATTTGGACAGTCTTCGTCGTGTCGCTGTAACGTAATCGGCCTACAAATGTGGGCAGGAGGAGGATGTGGTTCCTGAATTTGGACACAGCTACGATACCGGACACAGCTTCTTCTTCTTCGGGGTTTAATGGCAGCTGGCATCCTTGTACATGCAGTGCTGCCATCTTCTGTTTCAGTCCATTATTACACTGTTAAATCCTACTACTTATTGGGAACAACGCGTCGACTATTAAATTAGTTGTCGACAATTTTGACAGTCGACGTAATCGTGACTAGTCGACTAATCGCGACAGCCCTACACAACACAATGTCAAAGTGCCTTGAATTTCAAAGTCATATAAGATAAAATATGATTTAATGACTGAAGGCTGTCAACCAGTTTTGGACAGCTGTGGCTCAGGATACTAAATGCCAGATTTCCTTGTTCATCCACCTGACTGTGAGAGTGATAGATAAAAGGCATTTAATAGATGTTTAATTTGTGACAGTTCATTCACTGTTAGCCAGCTAGCTCCAGTACTGTTTTTATTTTTTTAACTGTTTCTTAATGGCAGGGTGATGAGGGTGCTGCTGTCCTGAATCCCTCATCTAGTGGCTGGACATTCTTCAAATCCATATCTTGGAATCCAAACTGAAACTTGTCAGTTGTCATCCTTCTGCGCTGAAGATCTGAAAACTGCAAACTAAAGGGGTTGTTCTAAGCAGGAAGAAGAGAACAGGTGCTGCTACTCTAGACATAAAGAGGCATCCACACAGGAAGCAACTAGCAGCAATGTGGCAAACGCTTAAAGAGCACTTAAAATCAGGGTGAAATAACCACTGAGTGATGACACTGAGTGAGCGGTCACGGAGCTCAACTTTATTAACTTAAAGGCACACAACTGATGCAACTACAAATTAGTGTGAAGGATACTTTTGACTGACAAATGAGAAGGCAAGACATACATCTGAGGGTTACCTAGGCAACCTGAGACTTGAATGTCCACAGTGACTGACTGTCAGCAACAAAGCAGTACGTAACAAGCAAATCACTTCCTGTGGACACTCCTTTATAGAATGTTTTAGGGGAAAGTTCAAGATGGTGGAGCTCAAGTCCAGGACGAGAAACTTACTGGGAAGGCAGCTGATTACTGCTCAGTTATTTATTGTCAGAAAGTTTATATGTTATTATTTATGAATTCATTCAGTGAACCACCTCCTGCCTCTATACTGTCATTTTGTATTTATCATTTATTTTGATAATTATGTAGGGAATTTTTTTTTTACAGTATTATAATCTCATGGTGAATTTTAAGATATGACATTTCATAAACGTCAAAGGTCATCGCTACAGTCCTATCAGACAGTTGTGACATTTTGACATAATTGGCGTATGAAGGCATGCAGTCACTGGTGCAGAAGCATAATGAAGAGAGATCATACGTGCAGCGTGTGGTATTAGCACTTACCTCATTAACGTTGATCTTTGATTTAGCTGAAGTCTCTAAAAAGGCACAGTTGTTCCACTGACGGGCCAGGTTCTGACCCTGCTCCTTCCCGACCACACGCTCATCCTCCAGGTCACACTTGTTTCCCACCAGGATCATGGGAACCTGATGGATTAGTAGACATGCGACATGTTCAAAAAACAAAATAATGAGGAACTTTAGTTTTATTTTTTTGCAGATGTAAAATGACACAAAAGCAATGAAAGAAACAAATACATAAAAATGCCTTCTTCTTCATGTTTATCACAAGTTTCAGGAATCTGATCAGAGGGTGGATTTTAATTTAAACTATCCACATGATCATTATCATCATTATTAATTACAATGGTGGCTCCAAATGATTATGGAAAACAAGACAACAAATATAGGAATATATTAGAAATGCTCAAAAATGTTGACCAAATTCATGTTTGAAAGATTTCATCACAAGACTAAACAGTGGCTAGAAAGCTTATGTGCATACTGAGGAGCAGAAGGTTGCAGCAAAAAGAGACCTTAACCAAGACACACAGACCAGCTGAGCAACCTGCTATGAATAAATAAAGAGCGCACACACTCAGCATGCTCCATCTCTCTTGATTTAGAGAGAGGAGAAGGCAGCAGATCGCAACCAACAGCAGCTCTGACATTTCCACCCCGTCACAAAGTTCCTGCCTCCCTGCGCTCTGCCCTCTTCTCCCACGGTGCTGACTTTAATGAAGGAGAGGTGACAAGGGCAGATTACACAGTGAGACGTTGCCAGTTTTCCCTCTGCAGACTGAGGAGGCGCCTCAGAATTACAGCATTCAGATGTTTATTATACTCTGCCAACATATCATCACTGGTCGGTGAAAACAGACATCAGGTGTTCCTTCCAAAAAAACCAACCAACCAAACTTTAAAAAAAAGAAGAAAAAAAGGATCTTTTACACTTGTTTCTATTTTTTGGTGAGACTTGTATTTATGTCCTAGATAGACACACATATGGATTTATTTTTGCTCTCTCTGCAGATGTGCACCAATGATGTCTGTAGAAAGGGCTGGTCAATGATCTATCCAGTGCTTGCTACTCGTTTGTTTGTTCAAGACAAACATAATAAAGATTTATAATATAATAAATATAAATAAATTAACATGATAAAGTTGTTTAAAAAGGAGTCTGTCTGTAGGTCAAAGAAACGCACCAGCATTTTAAGCCAAATAAACTATTTCAAACCCCAAAGGATGCTACTGCTTGTTTTCAAAGCAGCATTTTTATGCGAATAATAGAAAAGGAATCAAGAGTAAATTTAGCTCCAATTACTTTTGTTAAAGCATTATGACATTTTGGGCTAACAGTAATATCTGCAACAGTCTGGCTCATGGTCAGTGGTTATATTTTTTGTTTACTCAGTATTTAACTTCCGTTTTCCACTTTTAAAAAACTTGATAAATATATACATATATACATGTATATGACACAAACTTTAACTTCGTATCACTTTAGTGTTGAACATTTTACAGTATTCATTCATATCCCTAAATTTAATTACGCAATAGAATATTTCAAAGACATCTGAATGTGACATTTAGCTATTTATTGTGGGGGAGTTTAACAGAGCAAACACACTCCTGCAATAGTCCATGCTGTATCTGCAAAAGCTATAAGAGCTTCTTAATGTATGCCTAGTTACAACTCTTGCTGCTGTAGACTTCAGACACACTGCTGCCAGTGTGAGGAACGAAAGAGAAAGTGAGGGCATTAATTACTGTAATTAGTGAACAGAGGTAAGTGGGCAGATATCAGGCGAGCAACTGACAGTAAAAAGTGTTAACATTTCATAGGCTGGATTTTTTTTATTAACCTGGCATCTTGTGCCGAAGGGTTGAAAACACCAGTGTATGATCATGTCACTTTTTACCACCATTTTAATGCTATACCAGTACAGAAGCTCAGAGATTCACATGTTATACAGAGGAAAATGTCGCAACAGTTTGGAAAAACAGGACTTTTCAGTTTTCACTTCTCCTTCTCCTACATCAGGACTGATGTGGAGGTACGGTCTGAGTGGCAATCCTTCAGGAGAATACTACAGCGGGCCTTAATGGTGGGCATTAATGGATGCAGCTATGCAATGATGTCAGCAGTGGCACATATACTGGGTCCCCACTACAGAGTGACAGCCATTCACACTTGCATATATAAATGCCAATTAACAAGCACAAAAGAGGAAACCAGAGTATCCAAAGAAAGCTCACACGGGCACAGGGAGCAGTAAAAAATGTACGCTAAGCAAATTGATTGGACAGGTGTACTGATGGTGTTTCTACTAGCCAATTCAAATGTGTGAAACTCATTAACTCATTTCCAACACTGTGCTACTAGGCTGCACAGTGTTGGAGTGGTTAGTGCTGTCACTTCACAGTAAGAAAGTTCTTGGTTGAAATGAGGGTTAGAGTAAACAGCTGATAGTTGTGGTAACCGGTGCTGTTCTGCAGTACTGTGACATAAAAAGAGGTAAGTGGTTGCATGTCGGCTGTTTCTGAATAAACTGGAATATAACCAAACGACCAAAATACAGGTGTAATCACATTCTGCATTGGTATGTGGACGCCAGCATAGAAGAGAACATAGCTCTGGCCGACCAAACTCTGCAAACCACAGTTTGTATGTCTGCCATGTTATATGCAGCATAAAGCTAATCAACATTCAGCAACATTTGAAGCATGATTTGACTAATGAACTCCAAAAATTCATGCTCAATATTTGTTTGGACAGTATTTACGTTTATCAGTAATTATTTTTTTGCCTTGTCAGCTGTAAGCAAGTTTGGCCAATTAATTGGTAGATCCCTTTCTTTTTCTGTTAATTAATCATTTGTGTCATTGCTGAAGTAGACATTAAAGGTTTGTTGCTTTTCTTGGCCTTCTATAAAAAAAACTTATTGGAAAGAAGAGATTCTTGGGTTCTAGAAAGTTATGAACCCTTAAAGTTAAAAACCTTTTTGCTTGTGATGTATCAAATAATTAAAGAAAAAAATGAGGTTTTGTTTCGCAATTTTCATTGAACAATGAGGACAAACATTTTTAATGGGGACTTCCTACATGAGAGCGCTTTATAATCAAAACAAGTGTGAAAGTGTGTTAAACTCACATCCTCTGTGTCCTTTACTCGCAGGATCTGCTCCCGGAGGTCCTGCAGGTCGTTAAATGTTGACTGCGCTGTAATGGAGTACACCAAAGCAAAGCCCTGGCCATTCTTCATGTACAGGTCCCTCATGGCCGTGAACTGTTCCTAAAGAACGATAACAGACGGCATCAGCGGCCGGTCCACAATTTCCTCGAAACACCCCTGCATCCTGCTCATGTTTGACTTACAGTTCCAGCTGTGTCCAGGATTTCAAGCATACATTGCTGCCCATCGACCTCGACTTGCTGTTAAAACAACAACAAAAAAAAAGGTGCATTTTTACAAGACTTGTTTTATTTGAAAATATTTACAAAGTCATGCGAAGCAATGAATGTGTGTGCAGGTTAGGTCATACCTTTCTGTAGGAGTCTTCTATTGTGGGGTCATACTTCTCCACAAAAATGCCTTGCACAAATTGGACTGTCTGTAATGAAGAAAAGAAAAGGGAAATAACACAGGACATCATTACCAATCCGAAACTACTACACTCCTCTTTTTTTCCTTCTTCTCACCCCCTCCCTTATTTTCTAGGTGTGTTGGGTGGAGTGTTGATGAATTCTTCTGCTCTTGTTTAAAGGAAGCTGGCCCAGAACAAGCCAGTCTTCAGCATTCCAAGATCCTTGCTTTAATTTGTCAGGGTTTACTTTATTTTTATTACTTTAGGGATGATGGTACAAGATCCTCCCCCTCTTTTAGCCAGTACTTCAGGCCTTTATTTCATTTCTTGTTTAAATAAAAGAACTTAGTCTAATAAATCTCAGGCGTGGCACTCTCTTTGTATGCTTAGCCACAGCTGAGCCTTAATGTTTTATGGATGTGGCCATAACAAGCTTATTACAAAGACAATCTGACAAAAACATTTAATCCAACTTCAAGTCCTTAAATAATAAGACATAATTGTAGCTCACGTTTTTTATATTCTTAAAGTTTGAATTGATCTACAGTCCTATGTAGATATTTTCATTGAAAGCAGGATGCCAATTTGTTAAGAGGTGAGAGATTTTCTTGCACAGATGGACGTTTGATCGCTCCCGAAAGCAGTTTTAGGGAGCACCAAACGTAAAATTAACTCCCTGCTTTCAATTAATAACTCCTTTTATAACCATTTTCATAAAGGTATAACATACATTTTCAGGGTCTCTTGTGGCTTGAAATAAGCCTGTGTGAATGACACACCACTGGTCTGTTACCTTACTGAGATATCTTCGCATTCCCCTGTTATTTCTGGTCATCTGGCATGTCTGAGTAAATTAAATCCTGCTTTAAAATCTGTTTAAAAACTGTTTAAAGATTTCTGCTAAGTGATGTAACAGACCGACTGCTGTTCCCATGTCAGACTTTCAATCTAACAACAGATGTACAGTAAATCCTACCTTATAAAGCTCTTAATGTTCAGGGTTTTTTTCTGCTTTACAGGATTTTATCTCAGGATGATTTTGAGTTTTTACAGGTGACTGGTTGCGCTTAATCCTTGGACTCTACAAAAAAGCTTTACAGGACTTCCAGTTCAAAGTAATTCTTATTTATATTTCCTCTGCCTCGGTGCGCAGAGCCTTGTCATTTTAGCTCCTCTGGCTTTACAGTTATTGGCTGCCCCTCGTAAGACGGAAAGTCAGAACAGCAGGTGGCTGAAACTTCTGTGCTTTCATTCTTACGGATTCAAGAGTGGGAGGAAAAAGAGCTTTTGGATCACAGGGATTACGTCTACGCACACACACCTCACTACTTGAAACTTTGGATATGCTTAAAGCGATCATCCGCTCCTGTAACAGTCTATGATAAAACACTGAGGAAAAAAACAGTAAGACCCGTTCAAGGAATTAGTTTTGCATTTAAGGATATATGCATGCTTGCTTTCTTTATAAGTTCTGTTGCTGGTGAATTTAAGGGGTAGTTAAATATGTAAAGTATCCTCATAATTATAAAATATGAAAAACACCTCTTGTTATTGAGATAAATAGCTCAACAGCTCTGTAAACCTCACTGAGAAAAGAAAACATTAATTTCAGCTATGTGTAAATAAAAACTTTGCAACTGTGTGTGTTGTAATATTATATACACACACACACACATTTTTTGTTTGTCTGTTTGTTTTAATTAACAGCAAAATCATAATTATTTAGCAGTACTAGAGTTTGAAAATATAGTGGATTTTTAAAGTCTGTAAAAGAAGAACGAAAGCCCTTTAACCTTAATTATAACTCAGCTCTATGCTTTATAACTACTATACAACCCAACTATAATAAACTGTATAAATAAATATGAACCTTCCTCTGTCTAATGGGAAGTAATTTAGGACTTTAAGGGGCCCATTTTACACTTGTCGTTCTTGCCCTTGAACACCAAAAAGTGATGTCACTGCCACTGAATCGAGCCACGCTTTGGTGTCATTTTGGCTGTCTCTCAATTTTTCTAATCAAACATGGGTCCCGTGGCAAATGATGTGTACGATTGTACACTCCCAAAGTATTGCAGCAATTACTCGTGGAGCTGTGGCGACATCACTATTTGCACTCAACATGACCAATGTGACGAATATAATGGACCCATTACTCAGTGTCAAAAGTAAAGGAAAAGGATGTGCTGAAAGGGAAACTGAGCACATAATAAATATTTTAGCGATTATTGATTAATGGAAGCTAAAACTGTGATTAAAATTAGGATTGGATTCATTTACAGTCTTGTATAAACTCATTAAAAAAATACCCTCGGCTTTCAAGCTTTAGTAGCAGCCATCGCTCACCAGTGCAGACTTTCCCACGCCTCCCGACCCCAGCACCACAAGCTTGTACTCGCGCATGGTGGGCAACTTCACTGGACAGCGCAAGAATCTGTGAAAATACAGAAGACAGATGCTAAATATCATACAGACAATCAATGTGTTACTTTCACTGAACTGTGTGAGATTATTCTGAATAAGCAAAACATTTTCTGGCACTAGTTTTCTTTATGTTCTCATCTCCCCTGAAAGAAGCCTTTAAATAATTAAATGACAGCCAAACGGGTAAGGTTTTTAAAGGACTACAAGTAATAAGTAATGACCCTAACACTGGTGCTGGGAGCCAAACAACCTACTGTGGCAGAGCATTGGATCTAAACCAGAACCTGCTGTCATGAAAAGTGTCTGATGAAACAACAGATGCCAAAATGTGCTATCAGCAGTGCCTCTGCCTGACATACAAGCAAAAGAAGTCCTGACAACTGAGATTGACTGGAGTCTTCATTTTTAGTGTGCCTGGAGGGCAATAAGCTCTTAGCATAAGCCCTGATGCATTTCGAATAGTGAATCTACTGACTAGACACTGATGTCAGTGTGAACACCCCCGTCAGTATCCACAACAATGAGAAGTCACTGTTGACCTCAGAGGATTGAAACCTAATCATTCGTCTGCCAAAAAATTTTGCTCGACTTCCCACCCACTATCAAGAGACTTCATGATGATACGGGCGTCACCTCTTTACATAAAAAAAAAGAATTAGAAAAAAGTTTGAAAAAAAAGATGGGCTTACTCTCTCCAGGAATTCAAACCAGTATTTTTCCTGGAGGTAAAACTCAAGAAAGAACTACATCTGCAATACAAACATGTAAACTTTAATCTGAAGCACACTGTGAGGCAGATTCTGACAATGACACTGCAGTCAGCAGGTAAGCCACAAATAACTTCATCTCATTATAATACAGAGGAGAAAGGCCACAGAGAATGACCCGTCATTAAACTCCATCAGCCTGACACATTTCTGTAAGTGTGACCTAGAAAATATTGGCAGAGGAGACAGGAGATGTCAAAGGAATGAAAATGTTTAGGATGAAGACAGGCATTTTAACTGAAATCTGCCCGTTATTCTCCAGAAACCCCTCACTGAATGTAAAGTGAAATTATACCAAGTTAAATTACTGCCTCTCATTTTATCATCACACTCGTCAATGCTGTGGGTTTTCATCTACTGCCTGTTTGATTATTTAAGAGGAAACTTCAGTAGATCTGACTAACTTCCTGTGTGCTTTCAGTGTTGACTGATTGAAGAATTTTCATTTTAACTTGAAAGTGCAGAAATAACAACCAGTAACAACAATGACAAAGTTTCAAAGTAGTATTAAAAGAGAGGTGTATTTTAAAATGTTATTCTGAAATGCAAATGTAATGTTCATTTGATGTATAAATGTCAAAGAGGGGGTGATGCAGGCTAAAATCTCATTTGAGAGCCTCTTTGAATCTACTAATTATGCTAGGTCTGTGGGACCTTTGTCAAATGTTGAGCCAAACAATACAAAAACCACTCTGTCACACTCGAACAGCATTTGCAATTCTAATGACGACGTATGAAGCATCACCAGAAACCCACAGTGTGAGGCAGGCACACGAGGCCCTCTACAAAGCGCCATTGTAATGACCCTCATCTACTCGAGTACGCCAAACAGAAAACAGAGATCAGAGCGAGCATGACCACTGCACTGAAATCATTATTGTGGCGAGGAGGGTAGGTGTGCACGTTGAGACGCCAGCATGTGCCTGATGCATTGGTTGATGCATAAAAATGAAGGCTGCGGAAAATGAAACAGTGTTTAAAATGTAAATTTATGTAGGTGTCGCAAAACTTGCTTCAAAGCCTTGGTATCAGATAAGAAAACTAAGCCTTCCGGTGATTAGATATGAGCCTGGATTCAAACAGTGGCCCTATCGAGCATGCGAGCTGTGACCACCTTCGCTAATCCCACTCATTAATTTTTGCTGGCTTTGGTAATGAGAGTACGTGCCTGTGAATGCTAGCAGCACTGACAACTAAATATTCAACTCCATTTACAAATGAACAAAGACCCTTAAAATCCATTTTTAGAAATGACACATTAGCCATTTCCAGGTCCAAAGGCAAACACACAGCGAGGCACTGAGAGTTAAAAAGGTCTAAATTATTCTTCAATAAAATGCTCAGTGTGGCTGTTTTCCCAGATGTTGTAAAAAAGGTTAGTGTCCAGGCATCAATGAAAGAGAATTTCCAAAACTGAGCAAGAAGAAGCTAACTACTTACAAGATGATATACCATGTTCAGACTTCAGTAGACACTAGGACATGGACATATTTTCATTCTGTGAATAAAACACAACAAACAAAACTGCTCAACTTACTGTGTACACGGCTGCTGAAGATTACAACTCCCTCTACATCTGGGGAGGAGGGGCTGGCAGATCCTCAGGTACAGGGATGTCAACAGGAAGGGTCCAAGGGTCGCTCAGGTGCCAGCAAGGCCACGCCAAACTGTTCAGACAGGAAAAAAGTTCTAAATTGAACAATTATCATCCAGCAGGAATGACAATTACAATTTGACATAACTGCACATCAACTTTGGGAGCAACTTTTGTTTTCTTTCAAACAAATTTTCTTGAATGCCAACTACAGATATAGAAGAAAACTAACCAAACGTTGTCAAAAATGACACTAATGGAAAGAGTGGTGCTGAATTATGGTTGTATTGCTTAGTGTTTCTTGCACTGAAAGAAATTCAGCTTGAGAACTGCCAGCACAGGCGTCAACTCGTCAAATGCTCTCGCGCAACCTTTAGCCAATTAGATGACATTATACAAATATCCTGAGCGTGAGATGTGCCTGTGCAATCCAGCATCAAAATGTAGACAAAGCTGATCATTGCAGTGGATAATTAAACTGTTGTAAAGTTCTATATAAGAGTTACTAACAGGCAGCTAGCTTGACTTTTAACAAATGCCAATACGCAATAATAACCTATTACACCAGCAAAGATACAACCCACCAATGTGAGGAATCTCCTCCCATTAAGCACTGAAGCAGCGCATCTGTTAAGTTTGTGCTGAGGGACAATGATTTCAGGCACTGACAATGAACAAGTTGCACTTTACAACTTGTTCTCCAATTTGTCTTTCTCTTATTTTTGTATATTTCTCCTGTTTGCTATTTATTCCTGCTGTCTACTATTTACATTTTAATTTGACACAGTTAATGTGGAGCACCCACAATTTCGTTGTACAAGTACAATGACAATAAAGAGCTATTCTATTCTAGGTGACTGGCAATAGCTACCCACTCAAGGCAATTTTTATCCAGTTTCCTCATTGATGCATTATATAAATAATTTCATTACTCCGAGATTAATTCAATCTGTCACAGTTTCTAAGTGTGGATGGGCACAGCACAAGCTCACGCCTGGACTTCCACATGCTTTGAAGTTAATGTGCGCATATGGCAGCTATACTGATGGATCATAATCATCATCAAATGAGAGAAAAAAGGAGGAGGATACTTCCAACAGGTCTGGAGCCAATTACAGTTGGCTAAATCATTCAGCGTATATCATAGCTTGTATATTAACCTGCAAAGATTTGACATGTTGAAACCAAGAAGTTATGGAAACTCAAACAGGCCAAATTCTACCGGCCAGCTGTTCCGCTACTACAAAACAACTTTTTTGGGGCGGGACAGTCATAAGTCAAAATTTCACTCACTAAACTCAAACATCTGAGACGTTAATTCAAAATTTCAACTTAACTCTGTCAGTCAGGAAGCTCTTTAGAGCTCTTTAAAAATAACTAAAAAAATAAATAAATAAATCACAGAGAACATTAAATGAGTAGAAACCTTTCACTCAATTACGGTTAAAACAAACAAACAAAAAATAACTTAAATATGATTTATTACAAACTCTTAACACCTGATAGGGAAAAAAGCCATTTCATTCAGAGCAAACATTACACCAGTCACACAAAAGAAGGTGATCAGAAGCACTGTAAAACTCTACTGTGGTGCGTTTGTGCAGTCACATGGAGAGCTTGATGGACGACTCTTTATGGCTATTTAAATAAGCTAAGGTCAGCTGTCATGTTACATAACAAACGCAAAGTTACTCACTGTTTACAGGACCTGTTGCTGATCAACAAACAGACAGTAAAATATGCTGTTCTGAACTATTTAATCACACAGAGTAATATTTTTTAGACCCCTGTTTCCAACCCTGATAGATACTAGTATCATGTGTCAGAGCCAGAGGGAGGGGGGGTTTCAACTTAAAAGCACAAAAAAATACTTAAGTTAACTTCCCTTAATAAATAAAACATGTTTTTGAAGAAGTCTTTAAAGTAAAACTTTATACATTAAAACAGAAGGCTTCCATTCGACAATTAAATGACAACTTGTTTTCGGGATAACTTTTGTAACGTAGTTAGTTTCGAAAGGAAGGGTGTGGCTTTTAGTTTCTCAGCGCAGCAGACCTTCACTGTCAAGCGTATTAAAACAACCAGTCACAGAGAGAAGTATCACCAGTTAAACACGAAACAAATGTGAGCCGAATGCCAAGTCTGGGAGTCTAAGATGCCCCAAAAGTAGTCACACTTCGACAACTCAAATGTTAGCATTCTGCTAGCACATTCCGGTGAAAGCTAGCTAACGTCCTAGCCCGGAAAAGACATGGCGAAGCTGTGCGGGACAAACGCCGCGTTAAGTAATGTCGGTTCCGCGGAAGAAATTCCATCGAGTTCACGGTTTAATATTAGTTCCAGTTTGACAAACTCTGTTTTAAGTTGCGCTACGGGTAAAAGAACTGTTTCGCAAACACCGGGGCTAATAAGTTAGCTAGACCGTTAGCACAAGAGTGAACTCTTAAAAATAGCTTTTTCTGTTTCATCTGATGCTAACGACTCTGGTTACGCACAAGTTAGCAAACAGACATGCCACTAAACATGTTAGGATAAATGTTTAAAAGTATAATCGGATGTTAAAGGACTTGAACCGCAAACCACATTTGCACCGATAACTCATTAGTTACTTGTTAGCACCTCAATCTAAGTTAGCTTCGAAGCTAAGCTATTTTACCACCACTATTATTTAATTACGGCGGAACTAGAAGTAACTCTGGTGTCTCATCAGAGACAAACAAATGCTTAGAGACTAATGATCAAAACAATGAAGACACGGCCCTAACAATTACTCACTAAAATAGCAGTTTTACTTTGAGATAGAGCTGCAGAGGGCACTCACCGTGTTCCGCTATGTGTGCGCTAACTGAAGCTGTGGATGTACGGAAGGGTCGGGGGAGGGGGGGGGCAGAGAGACCGTCGTGTTTTGATTGGACCAGGATCAGCCAATCACTGCAATCCAGGTTACGGTTCAATTACAACCTCTTCACTTTGAAAACAAGCTCCAGTTACATACTAGAAGTGGGATAAAGCTTAAGGTAAATAACATTACACAATTTGGCATTTATCATATAATCTTGTGTACAGACTTAAACTCTTCTGCTTCGGACTCGATGAAAACAACACTTTAAGTTGTTTTCCTCTTCATTTAACTCTAACAAACTATTCATATTCTATATGCCTTCACTTATGGTTTAGATCACATTTGACCAGGGCCAATTAATTCTTACATTACATGTCTGCAACAAAATTTGAACTACAGATCAATTTTGAATATATAAAAGCTTATCTGACATTAATAAATGGACGATTAATTCTTTTTTAATGATTCACAGAGCAGGGAGAGTGTATTTTTATGGGTTTGACAAGAATCGTTTTTTAGAGAAAAACAAATCTCCCATTTTACCAAAGAAATGAAAACAAAGCACTTATAAAGATATTTTATTGAAAGTTGGCAAGAACCTTTGGCGCTAATGGGATTTATTATATAACCACATATAAACACTAAAACTGGTAAACACCGTCCTCCCTTCTTTGTCATAAAACAATACTAATAAATACCCTTTATAATTATCAATATTAGTTAAACATTAATTAACACTTAATTACTGCTTATTGCAAATTTCTCTGTATACATTTAAAGCAGTGGTAGGAAACGAGTGTGTGGGACTTCAGGTGTCATTATAATCCCCACTTTTGAGCTCTGTTTTAGTCACACTTCAGAGTAAATGGATTTGTTTGTTTTTGCATTATGTCTTACATTGTGGGTCCTTGTGCTCGCAAGTGTAAAAGACTCACAGTTTACTTTTTTCGTCTTACTGATCATTCAAAGCACTTTTAACTACATCGCTTTATTCTATACACTTCGAGCATTTTATCTACCTCACATCCCTGACCAATTTAGAATTACCAGGTAACATAACGTATTGTGAAGTGGCTCTCATGTCCAAGGCACCACCTCTTAAGGCACCCTCTGACCTCTGTACGACCCATGTTCTGTATGTGCACCATATATGATCACTCCTATGCCTTTTTACTGTTACAATCTCCAATTTCCTGTTTTCTCTGTCTATTCAACACATTATGTTGTGATAAAAATATATACATCTCTACATATCATTTTTGTGTTTTTCATGGCTGGACCCTCAGGCTTACCAGGGTCCCTGCCCGGGATGCACTCTTAGTGCAATAACTGTAAATTTGCCACCTTGTCACCTTGTACATTCATTCAGCTGCACTTTATACTCAGGCATTGTTGAATATATGCAGACTGTAATTAATTTACCATTTCATTTGCTTCCTACCTTCCCTGTACATTAAGGGCAATATGTCTGGTTTACTTATTTGACATAAATCTGTGCATTTTTCTTTTATTTCTGGCTAAAGGTTATGTTAGGTTACAGGAAATGCCTGTAATTGTAGAGTTAATCCTAAACAACGAAAGTGTTTTCACCATTTCGGCTCTGGCGGGAAACCCCCTGATAATATAATATAAATAGCACTCACCGTGGCAGCTGTTCTGCTTTAAGTGCCTTCAATATATTTACACTATTAGTTTTACTTCTAATACATGATAATAACACTGTACTACATATTTACGTCCATTCAGCATAACTAACTTTATGCTCATGCTGCTGGGAAACTGTAACAGACATACGAAAACTATATTTACAGTAACCAATAAGGAAATACATTTAATATTAAAAGATGATTAATTTAACGTATGATGACATCTTTGTTTTTTAAGAGTCTCTGTATGTATAGAAATGGCTGATAAGCATTTCTCATGCTTTCTAGAGCATACAAATAAACAGCAGAGGATGAACATCCACCGTTCTCTCCTTAAAGCATCAGATTTTCACGGTTAAGGCTGCAGACAGTGGTCTCTTATCTGTTTATATTCGCAGATCTTGAGCAGCTCATAAGTTCTCAGAATATAGATTTGGCTCCCTGAAAGAGAAGAGAAAGCACAGCAGAGGGAAAGACTCCAGATTATAAAAAGTAGCACAGCTGCACTGAGGACGGATGTCTGGCAGGTGATTTTTGAAGTGACGTTTGAAGCTGAATCCAATAACGTGTTCTTTGATGTATATAATGCACAGTGATGTGATATAAAAAGCCATTCATGTTGCTGTGCTTCCTCATTTTGGAGTGCCAGATTTAAAGTGACAGGGACGGCATGTTTTCTGACAGCTATACAGTTTTTTTGTCAGATAAACGTTATTTAAAGTGTCACATTGGTTCTGTTCCGGTTTTTGTACTTTTGGCAGCCAATCACATGCTGTTATTTGCCTGTTGCCTGAGGGATTCGACTATATAAAGTGGCTGTGTATATAACATGTTTAATGTGACCTTTTAGTGCAGACTCTCTCCTCAGCTAATATACATGTACTTGCAGTATGAACAGGCATCAGATAAGGCAGTGCATATTTAACTTTTGATCACAGCCTCTGATATGATTTTATTTTCTCCAGGAGAGCTGAGCTGGCGCCCACCATGCCTTTCTGTTTGCTTACCTGAGAGGTTTGGGTGCAAACAGTGCAGCCATTTTAGCAGGGCTGAGGCCAAAGTCACCACAGACTGAAGTCTGGCCACCTAAGTGGCTAACCAGTGGTGCAGGTGAGGGTGAGGGGGCACAAAAAACTGCAGTTACATCCAGGAAGCACAAGTATTTTTTCTAGCTGAACTTTTTTTATTGGCTGTTGTTCCCATATATAAAAAATGCAGCGTTTTCAACAATTCCATTTTTTATTGAAATTGGTTTTTATTAGATTTTTTTCCCAGTCAGACCTCATTAACTTGTATATGACTTCCTCATCGCAGCCTGCATAGACAAACAACCGAAAAACTGATTTTGGGTATACAGCTATAGAGTGCTGCAGGAATGAATCCAAAACCCCGGAAATGAGTTAGCACTTCTTCTACTTCTAGTTCCCTGTGGTAGGCCTGTGGTTTATACAGGCTTAAGACGTTTTCACATATTGTTCCACTGCAGCTATTCCTCAATTCAGACTGTTTAAAATGTGAAAATCTTCTGCAGCTCACACGGACCTTCAGTCACAGCTTCTGCTTTTGTGTGCTTTGGGTGCTCAGTTAGAGAAGAAAGCAATGTGTATGTATCTGTCCATTTACTACTGTCACAGATGGAAAATTAAATATTTCCTTTATGGTTTCACTGATTTATTTTAATCTTTTGATCATTTATTTGGTGAACTTGATTCTCCATCAACAGCTTTAAGTCCTTTCTTAAGTTTAGTAATGACGATACATCTGAGTGAGACATTTTTAAACACCATTTCTTTGTTTCATTTGTTCTGTTTCTTTTTATAATGTAAAGATTTCATGAAAACAAACATATTTTATTTTGAAGCAAAGGTCTCATCACCAACTTGCAAACCATGGGTGTCAAATGTAAGATTTTCGAAGTTGGGTTTTTTTTATAGCTTTTTTTTTAAAGCACCAAAGTATCTAAGTAATAGATAAACAAAGAAATGATGGTAAAGTTCCTCTTTTATCACTATCTGCAATAGATTTGTTTTTTATTATATGAAGATATTTGAGGAATTCAATGGTTAAACTTCTATATACTGACAGAAAGAGGAGTTTCACTGGTCTGACCCACTTAAGGTCAAAGTGAGTTGCATGTGGCTAACAATGTAAAATTAGTTTTACATCCCTGTTATAAACCTTTCAGTTCACTCTCCATTTGATTGGCCCTAGTAGTGCATTCTATCCTGTCAGTTTATCCTATAAGATTTTAAAAGTTCAAAAGATGTGACTTTTAAATTGGTGTCACTCAAAACACCGAAGATCTAAGACAAACCCAACCTCAGGGAGTCAGCAGCCTGGATAAAGTGCAGGGTTGTGCCGGGAAGGGCGTGCAGGCTAAAATCTGTGACAATTTCCACATGCTGTGGGGACATCTCAGGGAAAAAAGAAGTAGCAAGAATTTCACTCAACTAAAAAAAAACAAAACAGTAAATTATAGTAAATGGCCTTTTACGGTCCACCAGGGGGCTGTGGACCATACATTGGGAATCACTGCTCTGCAACATAAGCATGTAAAATACTCCAGCTGTGAATTCTGATGCTAGAGGGTGTTTATCAAAAAGTGGCTAGACCTCAGGAGCTGTCGGGGACCTTTAGTGCTGATGATGTTAAAGTCATTTCACCCCTGTGTATTTCATTTACAGCCTGACATTAGCATTTTGGTTCTTGCCATTGATTTACATTTCAATTTGGCATTGGTTTGTGGAGATAACGTGTAAGCATCATGAACTCTTTGTTTTCTGCAATAATCCAGAAGTCTGTGCTTGTCGAGGGAATCAGGGTGATGTTAGCTTCCATGTTGGACTATAAAAAAAAAGAGTAATCCCTGCAGGATCCACCCAGGAAAACAAAAATTAGAAACATCAGTTTTTGTGCCACCCTGGTGCTCACACCCTGGCCACTCCTGCAAAATATTGTCTTGTCTTGCCACTTCATTTTAGAGCCTTATATCACTTAGGAAGTACCAACAGTTTGAATGTGTATTTTTAAACATTTCAAGCAGTTTATTAATCTATCTGTGGTATTTTTAGAATTTTAAGGGCTCCAAAAGTGATCTGAGTGACTGATCAGTTAGTCTAGACTCAAACAAACAGTTGATATGATGAAGTTATTCGAGCAATCACGGTCCCCAGAGGATGGAGCCTATCTATTTTCCTGAGCCCTGCCCTCTCCTCTCTCAGCTTCCCAAACATTTCGGACTTCTCCCACTTGAGACAAAGAGACTGGATGTACAAAGAGATGAACAAATGAAAACAATTACCAAAACAAACCAGGAAGACAAAGGCACAAACACGGAGACAAGTTAGCAGGAGCTAGAACAATAATAAAAAAAGGCCAAACAATATCACAAAACTGAAGCTCATCAATAGAATAA